GTCTTTGAATCTGGAAGAGATGATGAACTGTGGAATTACCTAAATTTAATTTCTGTACCAGGCATAAGATCCCAAGGAGTTTATTATGTTAAAAGCTATGTAACTGAATGACATCAATATCTTTTCTGGGAGGAATATGGGCTTCCAGATACTTATGCATGTTGGGGTAATTTGTAAGAAGTTATGCATGTATTCAAAGCACTCCTAGCTTGCTACTCACAGAGGTAAGCCACTTCATCAGTCTACAACTTAGTTGTGATTCTGATCGGTGAAGGTATTTGAAAGGAAGCATTAGTATCAGAAGGGAATTCTGAAACAAAGGAAAAAAATCTGCCTCTTGTAGGCAGAGATTTGATGGCTGATCTTTCTAGATTAGTCTTTGTCCAATAATTGTCTCAAGTTTACTATTACCTTATTGGCATGACAGTCATGTGAAAGTCTGCTGGAGTGGAATAAGATGTTCTATTTACAAAAATTTCCTTTACCATCAACTATGCTGTCCTGAGACATCCTTAACCCTCATTCTGAATCCTGCTGTTTCTTTGAATCAGGCATACTGTTTTAAAGCTTTCCTAATGAGTGGAGAGGCTGTTTTTTCCTAATGCCCAGATCACACAGAGGTATTCTATATTCTAGAGCTTTTGTTTTGTTTTGTTTTTAATAATTTCAGCAAGACTACATTATTTCAAATTAATACTGATAATACTTCTGTCCTATTGACTTCAAATGACAGTAAGCTAATTTATGAAGCAAATACATTTTTCATATGCTTGCTTGACTAAACCTTTGAACAGATTTCCAAATCATTAATGCATTGTTAAACACTGTATTGTTTTTCAGTGTTTGTACCTAGTTTTCAAATGAATAGTCATTGTTTATAAACCCTGTAACCTAATGTACATGAATTCAGTGGGAGTCTTACATGGTTCAAAACTCCAGAAATTAATTTCAGCATTAGATAGGCTGGCTTGGCTACCATTTATGCTGTGTTACACAAGTTGAATAGTGGCATGGCACTTGCAGTTTCCTACTAATGAGCAGAGTCAATTGCTCTTATCACTTTCACATGACTATCACTCCACTGAAATTGGCATTTTCACTTTAAGAATTAAACAACTCTATAATTTAACATAGCTTGAAGCAAGAGTGGAGAATAGAATGTAGAGAGCTGTCCTCAGTATATTTTGGAAGAAGTTTTACTTAAATTTTGGATTATTAGCATATTAATTGAAACAAGCAACATCTTAATGCTGTCCTTAGTCTACTTTGTATCTTAAAATATAGAAATGAAAGAGTAGTGTCCAATGATATAATGCCTTTGTCTGCTCCAATGTTAGCCACCTGGAGTATGTATTCCTGGAATGGCAGTAGGAGGAAAAAGTTGCACTTAAAGTGTAGTTGTTCAGTAGGTTCAGAAATTATGCAGTTAGATTGATTCTGATATATGCAGTGTTAGATTGATTCTGTTGTTTGGAATGTTGTCTTTAAAATTTTTTCTGTTCAAACCAGAAAAGTGTAAATAGTGGTATTTGCAGAGATCAGTACAGCTGTTATTTTTTTAGAACAAGTCAGTTTTTTTGATCAAGAATTTTTAAATTTTTATTAGTAACTTCCTACACTGGGGATATTAAACCATCATTGCTTAAACTGAGCTACAGTTTTCCCAGTGTTTTGACTTATTTATCCTATAGTTTCATATTCTGGATAATCTCTTTACTTCTACAAACTCTTTTTACATTTGTATTTTGTTCTGCAACTAGCAATGGAATTCAAAAGATAGGCTAAGCCAGCAAAAGCCCTATTGTAATTCAAGAGCACATGATGTATGATATACATCCAGTCATATTTTATGTGTGAAGCAATACAGTTTTACCATCTTCTCTTACTCAGACCTCATTTATCTGTTAACCACACTCATAAAAATGTTACTCACATAGTCGCATTTCTACACTTCAGGTAGGATTCATCTTGCTTTCCTTTATCAATAATATGAAGACATTTACTTTTGAGCTAGTTGCCTGTCTCCTCTTTTTAAGGCATGCGGTAAAAAAAAGGCCATTTTGCAGTTGTGATTCACCTCTTACAAAGTTAGGCAGCTAAAACAGGCAAAGTGAAAATCCTCCTTCTTTAGTAAGTGAAATTACCCAGTAATGTTTATCAGTCTTAGCTTAATTCTAAAGTCTCAGTGAAATATGAAGAAATTATACAAGTGGAATAGTAAGAGTTAGAGTCAAGAAAGACATAAGAAAACAGTAAAGGCTGTATTTTGCTTACTTTTTACTATTTCCTTTCAAAATTGATATAATACATGACAGTATGTCAAAGATATCTGTTCACAGAGCATTCTTTGCATTTTTCCTCTGTTTTGGTTACCATTTAGAAATGCTAATAAGCAAATGTTTTGCATGTGTCAACAGTAACCATATCATTCAAGTGCATTTAAATGTGTCTTTATCTCATGGTAGCACACGCTTTATTGCTTATTTATTCTAGAAGGTGTCAGTGTTCAGGATGAAAACAGAAACTGAAGTTTTGCTTTTCTGTCAGTGCATTGTGAGCACCATTCTCTGACAATAGTGTGGTATTTGAATTGCCAATATTTGTCCACCTGTTCTGAACAATGTTGTTGCTAAATTAAGTTGTCATTTTAGCATTTAGTAATTAACCCTGATTTAACTGATCCTTCTTCTGTATAAAAATCCAAGTGAAGTAAATGGAAGTTCTGCCATAGAGTTCAAGAAACTTTGGATGAGGTTTTTTATAGGTTTTGTCTTTTATTTTTGTTTCTGTTTTCAGGCCAAGTCAAGCTCCTCAACCTTGTTATGGGGAAAAAAAATCATAATGATGATTGTTTTATTTATTTAATTAATAGTGATAATGAGAACATTTTCATTGTTTCTCATTTTTCCCAGATTAATTAGGAAACCAGAATTTCCATTATTGAATGACAGCAGGTGTCTCTGATCATCAGAGATCATTTAATGTGATGTACTCCAAGTGGAATTCTTGTTTTATTTTCATTTTGCTTAATTTACAGGATGAATTTGAAAATCCAATTTCATCAAGGAAAACTAGGTAAAAAAAATAAAAATGCATTTGCTCATTTCATTGCACATTTCTTTCTTTGTGCAATCCCATTTGTTGTTACTGTCATGGAACCATAGAATCACAGGTTGATACAGGTTGGAAGGGAATTCTGAAGGTCATATGGCAAAATACCTGCACATCATGTCCTCATTTATCTATATGCACCACTTTTTTTTTTTTTTTTGCCACCTTTTTGCCACCTTTCCGAGGGATATTATTATTACTTAGCAAGTACAACCTCCAAATGATCTGAAAAGCTAATGGAAGATTGCCTCTTTCTTTCCTGGCACTAAGTCCACCTGCTAAGCAAGTAAATGACTTGTCAGATACATCTGCATGATTTTCCCTCAACCCACCAACTTTAAAATGTCAGCCTTTGTAAAAGATTTTCCTCAGCTCTGTGGGGAAATTTCAGCTACAGTGAAGTTTCAGATCATGCATAATCAAATTCTCCTATTCTTACATTTCTTTGCTCCTAGTTTACAAACATGACCAACAGGTATTTAACTGCTGATGTTACTTTATTTATGGCCCTGTCCTTTGAGCTGATAAGAAATGGAGACACTCAACCTTTTTAACAAGGCAATTTTAGAATGCTGCAACATTAAAAACCAAGTGATTAGAAATTAGGTGAGATAACTATTCCTTATCTAGAGGAGGAGAAGACAACAGAACTGATGTTCTGAAAATAGTTAATGAAGGTTCTGTATTTCAAAGTTCTTATCTCATTCTCTTTGACACAGTAATTGAGCATCCACTGATGAACTAATTCTTAGTGGACAGGTGGACAAATCAAAATTAACATTCAAATTGGACCATACTTGGATGTTTAAGTAAAAGGGGTAAAGAGAAACTGGTAGTAAAGACAGAATTATCTTTATATGGTCTGGGATCCCTGAAGAACAAGGTTAAGCTCATTTGCAGGCTGATGTGAAGTATATTCTTACACTTTGGTCAGTTTCCAGTTCCAGTAATTTTAGATTCCTAATCAGTATAAAATTCGCTGTAGCAAGTTTGAAAGTGGCTTCACTCTTGTACATAGAAAAGCTCTTTTTTAAAAACAAAACAAAACAAAACAAAACAACAAAAAAACAAACAAACAACAACAACAAAAAAAAAAAAACAGTCTAAATAGGTTTAAATGTAATTTATGTGCACTGCAAGGCTCTGCTTCTGTGCCAAGGTAGTGTAAGGAGCCCTTTGTGTAAATGAAATGTGAGCCCATTGTGCCTTGGAGTTTCAGAACACACCCATGGATTGGATTCTTCTTTTAAATATGTGCACGTCTGTGTGTTTATTACCTTGTACATTATGAGTTTAGTTGATGTCTACTCTTGTGTGACAACATATTAATGACTAATTGGTAGTGTAGCTAATGAAACCATGTCACCAGCAGAGGCATTCCATACACTAACTTGTTTTTTTTTGTTTGTTTGTTTTTAGAATGTCTTATTCTAGCATTCACACTGAGATTTTTGCCATGCTGCCTCTATAGGTTGCTAGGCAGCACAGCTTTACCCCAAAACGGTTAGCTCTGTTCTGCATGCTGAGACTCTTTCAGATATCCTCGGTGGTTTGAATCTTCTTGCTGTGGGGTTTCCTTGATTGAGAGCAACTCCTTCCAAAGGTCACTGGCTCTCTGTGGATCAGCCCTTTTTTTTTTTTCTGATGTGCACAAATCCTCTCATTTTATACTTCAAGAATCCCTGCTGCAATCAAACCATAGTCTTGACTGCAATGGGCCTTGTGTAATTGACCCCTACTGTATACTGCATGTTGCCAATTGCTATGTATAATAATGTTTTGATGGTAACGATCTTAAAAAAGCACAAAGACAAAAATGTTTGTACTTGCCAAAGTTAATGAAAAAAGCTTCCCAAAGACATTAAATATGTTTGTTTGTTTGCTTATAGGGCAGATTCTGAATGTGCTGGAAAAGTATAATCTGAGAAATAAAACTCTTACATACTTTTCATCTGACCAAGGGGCTCACATTGAAGAAATCTCAAGTTCTGGAGAAGTCCATGGAGGTTACAATGGAATATATAAAGGTGAACTTTCTCTGATTTTTTTTTTTTTTAAAAAACTGTTTCAGAAAATATTTCCTTGGTTTTGTTCCAAAACTGCAATATACTCTAGGGTCAAAAAGTTCAAAATTCAATTTTTAAATAATAAAAAACTGCTCATAGCTGTCATACTAAATCCAAACATAGGCATCAAAAATAAGGGGCTTACTTGTCAAATACATCTGCTCAACCAGAATACATGCTTAAGGAGAGCTCTGAGTTTTAACACTATAAAATATACCCTTGAACTGGCCAGAAATTCAACTTTGGAAAGATGTTAGTTCATAGTATTATACTGTCATGGCTAGAGGCTGGAGAGCAGAATGGAATGGAGAAAAAAAAAAAAAAAGCTGGGGTTTGTGAGCCATGTGAGTCATCACGAATCTTAAATGTAGGCTAAATGCAACAGGGTAAGTGAGATCACACAGAGGTTATAGAGAAGATGGGAGAACCAGAATTGTGTTCATTACAGAAAATGTAGAAAAAGAGAGTTAAATTAGAAAAGAATAATGGGTAGTTGGATTTAGTTTGGGATGGGCAAGTTCCACAACATCCAGAGAAGGATAAGATTTCAAGAAACAAATTCTGAATTAATGATCAGAGTTTTGAAAATAATGCATACTATTGAGTTGGACTGATTTGAAAACAGAGAGACTTCTGTTAGAAGGAGAGTTATATTCTTTTAGTCTCAAGAAAATTAATACTCCAAATTCTGTTTGTTCTGTGAAGGACTAAAATGTGTTTAAAGTCTGCAATACACTTTCTCCCTGTGATATCACCCAACAATACTGAAAGATACTGTTTATTGCAATATAGTGATCATGTAGAAAGAAAAGTTCTAGCTTAGCAAATAGCCTTTCTCATTTTGTCCATTCTGATATCCCTGACCTTTGGTCAGCAGGAATGTAATATACAACTAGACACTTTTGAGAATGTGGTCCTAGCATGGAGATGAACAGAATTATTGTCAGCAATGTGTTTTTGAGACAGGCAGAACAAGAATAGACAACAGGACTAGAGAAAGAAGGGTGCAGTGATGGTAATTGTTTGGTAACATGGTGACTTTCAGACAGGGACTAGTTATAACTTTCAGTCAGGGATTGCTCATAATCAAAGACAGATTGACAACATTGTTAAATATGAAATAAAGAATTACCTTTGACAAAGTAAAGAAAACAGTATTTTCCAGTGTGCGGTTTGTGGACACATAGCATTAAGAAATTGAACATTAAAATGGTTTTAATAATCTTTGATCTCATTGAAATATGAAAGAAATGCTTAGTTTTGTTATTTTTAATGAAATGCAGTGAATATTCTGTCCTTGTACCAGAGGTAAAGTTCCCTTTATGCTTTCACTGGGAAATGTCTGTTTAATTTGTTTTCCCTTCATGTTTCAGAGGACAAGACCAAAGAAACCCAGCAGTTTTTGTAAACTGACTTGCCAACCTTGCCACTTTTAATTGTGAGGAGAAAAGCAAATTGCCTTTAGGTGTTACTTAAAAAAAAGGTATTGCAGAACTAAAGTTGTGACTTAAGTCACCGAATAGTTGAGACTAGAAGGCGCCTCTCAGAGTTTCTAGTCTTACCTCCTGCAGAGGAGGGTCAGCTGGAGAAGGTTGCTCAGGGCTCTGTCCAGTCAAGGAGTCGAGGTTTGAAAATCTTCAGTGATGAAGCTTCCACAGCCTCTCTGGGCAACTTGCTCCAGTAAATACCAGAGCAGCCTCACCATAAAAATTCTTTTTCTTATGCTTTAAATGAAATTGCCTTTGTTTCAGTCTGTGCCCATTGCTTCTTGTCCTGTCGCTGGGCACCAATAAAAAGAACGTGGCTTCTTCATCTTTACTCAGGTAAATTCATGTAATATACATGGATGAGATCCCTCCTGAGCCTTCTTTTCTTCAGCCTGAGCAGACCCAGCTCTCTCAGCCCCTCCTTGCATGTTGGAAGATTATATGGAAACCATCTAGCCATTTTCATGGCCCACCTTTAAACTCACTCCATGTCCATGTCTCTTTCATACTGGTGAGCCCTGCTCTGGACTGAGCACTCCAGGTGCATCTCACCAGAGTGAAGCAGAAGGGAAAGATCAATCTGCTGGCAATGTTCTTCCTAAGGCAGACACAGATGTTGGCATACTTTGCCACAAGGGCATATTGCTGGCTCATGTTCAGGTAGTCATACACCAAAACCCCAAGGTCTTTCTCTGCAAAGATGCTTTCCAGACAGTCAGTCCCCAGCCTGTTGTGGTGCAAGAGGTTATTCCTCCACAGATGCAGACTTGATGTGTACCTTTCCTGAACTTCATGAGGTTCCTGTCAGCCTATTTCTCCAGCCTGTTATGGTCCCTCTGAATAGCTGCATGAGCCTCTCTGGGTGAATCAGTTTTGTATTGTCTGCAAGGAAGAAACAAAAACATACACTGTAAGCAATAACAATACAGTGAGGTTTTTAAGTGAGAAGACTCCACTGCTTTTAGTCAGCAGGTATCTTTCTGAGAAATGACCCTTAGATTTAAGAGAGCTACAAAGGAATTGCTGCCCAAGCAACACAAGCAATGCCAAAGTCATGAGGTTACGGACTATCAAATGGGTCCCGTTGGGCTAACACCAGAATGAAATGCTAATGTCTTAAACATTAGCACTTAGGCCTTACATAGTGCTTTAAGTAATTAAGGAACCATATGGTTACATATCTGTAGCTGTAGGCACAGCCTGAGGTGTTTTAGAAGCTCTAAAAAATATTTGCCTTCCAGGATGCCAGACATAAGACATAGGATAAATGACAAGGAGGAAGAAAGAACACAAATACACTGGGGAATATGCCTTCCTGAGGAACATTTTGATTGAATAGAGTCTTTTCTATTAAGCTTTGCAGAATTTTGTGTTCATACTTACAGAGTGGGGAGCAATTTGAAATAGATCTTACCTGAATTAATAAAAATCTGATTGATAGGGTTACCTGGGGAATGGTAGAGCTTTTTATTTTTTAAATGAATTGTAGTGTGGTTTACAGTTGCCTCTTACGCTATACTAGCAAGTACTGTAATAAATGATGGGGAAGAAAATAATCACTATATATGAAAAAATAATTATTGAGACATTTTTAACAAAATAAAAATAAATTAACAGACCTGTGCAATTAACTGAATATACATTTACAGTTTTAAAATACAATTAATCTTGTTTTATTTTCCACTCTCTCTATCTCTGTACCAGTCCTCAATTTAAGATGTATATTAAGCATCATTTGCAAAAGAACAGAAGTGAAAATGATAAATTGACCGCATAATTAGTAATTTTTGTACATAAGGTTTTATTCATATTAATAGTCTATACAGTGAGGTGTGTTAAAGCTCTGTAAATCTCTGGTGGATTTAATAAATATCAGACCTGTGAAGTCCATAAACCTCAGGCCCTGATGTAACAATATACCTAAAAAAAAACAAAAAACAAAAGGGCAATATTTATGTTAGTTGTGCTCATGTATACATGCACTAGGAATTTGCTTCGTCTGCAAAACTGGGAGACATGCATGTCCTTTCTTCCTGTCTGCTAGACAATCTGAGTCACTTACCTTTTTGTATATGAGTTCTTTATGAATGTGAATATGAATCAAGCCACTTAACACTCTTGTCAGAGCTGGAGCAGTATACTCAGCAATAATTGGTTCTGCCCTAAATCAAAAGCTCTCTACAGCTCTCCACAATTTGTACTCACTAATTTGTCTTGATATCCAGCCAAATCAGTACCAATAACAAAATTTAAGAGGAGTTTGGAGAGTTAGGCTTGCACTGCAAGACTGAATGCCAAAAAAGGAGACATTGAGAGCTTTATTAGTCTGGATTCTGACTGTGGAACAGTCACCATAAATTTGGATGTCCCTTGAAATCAGAAACCAAAGCTAATATTGTGTTTAACAAATTGCTGTCAATATATAGTCTGTTTTTTCCTTTTCTTAGAAGACATGCATATGCAGAAGTGATGGATTAAAACAGTCCCCTCTTTCCAGTTTCCTTTTTCTGACAGTCAAGATCAGAACCTTCAGAGGAAGATTCAGGAGCTGTGGTGAATAAAGAAGATCCCTAAGAAAATCTCTGAATCTGTAGGATGACCTTGGTTTAAGACAAAAATTTTGGCAATTTACTTTCCCAAGGCTTTTAGCATTATGCATTTAGCATAATTTTTCACCATATAAATATGAAGGTCCATTTGAGTTGTTCTAAATTCTCAGCCTAAATTCTTTAGAAAGTAAATTTATAGTATAGAAGACAGTACTTTCACTAGTTGCAGATTTCATTGAACATATCCTTGAAGTTTTATACTATTTCCTCTTTCGTAAAGGAGGAATAACTTATTTATATCTTCCTTATCTTGCCTTTGTTTTCTATATTTTTGTTGTCCCTCTTTCACCTTATATTAGCGCATTCATAAAGTAATTGTCTGGTCAGTTTCTCATCAGTCTTATTCTTCATTTTCTTATATGAAATATTTCTATTTGGCAATAAAAATTTCTTAAAATAGCTTGACCAATTTTTGCCTTTCAGTGTTTGCCATGAATATCGCTTTCCAGTTATATACTTCAATTTTTATGTTATCAACTTCATTCTATTTCCTATCCGTTGTCTTTTTACCTTATTGATTACAGATGTGCTTTAAACTTTAGTCTTTGCATACATCCTTTTTTTCTGAAGTATAAAAATTAAGTTTATGTTATGAATAGTTAAGAACATAGACTCTAGTCCAGTTATTTTTTCTCTAATGTCCGTTACACTGAACATTTTTATACAGAATTTGAACTTGGATCTTGTTTTCTTTCGGTGTGAAGTCCATTATCTTTTCTCCTGAATTTGATCAACCTATGATACTCTGTGTCATACTTAGTTTTCATGTTTCTCTCCACTTCCAAAATTAAAGGAATTTTATTAAAATAACATGGGACTTAGTAAGAGTTGAATCAAGGTATCTTACTATTGACTTTTTTCAGATGTCATAGGCTGCTTGTTTTATCTTTTTGTTTTCTGTCTGTTAGGCACATTTTGATTCATGACAACCTTTCCTCTCCTAACCCATGATTAATATTCCAAAAACTTTTCCTGAAAGTCCTTCAAAGGCTTAAATGTAGATATAGCCTCTATAGCAAAAGTAATGGCTATTTTAGAAAGTTTCTTTCCAGCTGCTCTGTATCTTCTTGCCTGAACTCCAGAAGGACTCTTGGGTGCACACATGATAATATACTTTTTTCCTAGCTACTTAATAGTTTTAAATGATCAGTTTAGATCTGTTGGAAATATAGTAGTTTCTGTGAACCTGTTGGACAATAGGTCCTTTAGCAACATTATTTCTTTTGGAAGCTTCTATGATGATACATGGTACATGATGCCTGACAAAAACAATGTTTCTTAGACCTTAGTCCCTAACTTTTAAAAATTACTACTATTACAGATCTGTGAGAGCTAAACAAAGGCCAGAGGAATACATTCTCTAATATTTTATTGAAATGTGTACAATTTCATATGCTACAGTAGCCAGCTCATTCACCAATGTTTCTTGAAGTTACTAGTAAATCTTTTTCTTTCTGTAATTCACAGAGAAATAAAACTGACCCTTACTTTGGCCTCAGGAACTATGCTAATGCATATTTAGCAATATTAGTTTCACTTCTGACTTTAACGAATGCAGGCATTGACCTTTGCTTCCAATGTACTGTATTTTTATATTTTTGAAGTGATCCATATTTTTTAAATAATGCAGCCATCTTGTAATTTTGACTGAAACAGAAAACATCCCGAGAAAGAAGTTCATTTATTTAGAATAAAGATTGAAATGATAGTATGTCCACATGGGCTGTGTCTATTAGTTTCAGCTGTATGAGAATACTTCAGGTTGAAAATTAACCAAAGTATATAGAAATAATTGAAAAACAATATAATAATGAGTGGGCTTGCCATTAAAAACAAATTACTGTTTGGTAGTTTTGTAAGGTAAGCAATAATAACCAGCTTTGATTGTCAATATTTACAGGCAATTAATTTCCTTGTATTTTTCATTCATTCAAGAGAATAAATAGGTTTAGAAGGTTTTGTTTTTATAAGAAAATAAGAAGGAAGGAAAGGGTAGTATGCTTATAATCCAAGTGATCTAAAGAAGATATTTTAAATTGTTTTCATTGTTTATCATTTAAAATACTAGTAGTGTTATACCACAGAATTTTCCTTTATGTATCATCTTTTGTACAAGCTCTATTCCCAGAGTTAGATAGCAGTCAATTTAAACCACAGAAGGGAAAAAAAAATATAGCTAAGATTTTAAATGAGTTTAAAATGGAAATCTGAGATCATGTTTTGGATGACTGTGGAGAGTTATGTCTGTACTTAGTCTACTCCTGCAGTTTTCATGAGAAGGTGAACACAGGCTGTTGTTCAGTGTAACACTGAAGGGTGCAACTATTCAGAAAGCACAGATAGCTAAGCATGGGGAGCTTTATGCTGTTTTAAAAACAATTTTAAAAGAACTTAAGGGATCAAAAATAAAACACAACTACTCTGCTTAGAGTTTGCCAGGCACACAGACTACTAAATTACTGCTTTTTCTCTGTTTCAGTGTTGTTGACTCCAATCAAAATACAAAACTAATGAGTCAGATTTTAAAATATCAAGAGGTTTTTTTATTACATAATGACCTTCTGTGGATATTTTTTTTCTAATATTTTATCTGTTTGGATGTTTGCTTCATGTTTCAAGCATTAGTGTGAAACCTTGATTTAAGAAAAAAAATGCAGCTATCTTGAACAATGTTTAACAGTGAGAGTTTTAATGACAATGCATGTCAAATTGTTCATACTCATTTCATGGGATTAATCAGCTCTAGTAATGTCACTAAATACAGTTCTAATAAAAATGCAAACCATGTGGACATAGCATAATAGAAGACAGTCTTCCTCTGTGATCTGTCATTTCTGCCCTAGTTCCCTGCTATTCCTCTATCTTCCTGCTATTCCTCTAACTTCCTGCTGTCTCCTCCAGAGATACCAAAAAATTATGCTCCAGTTAGTCTTTTGAAAGGAAAACAACAGTCACTTCTTCATAGAAATAAACAAGGAGATGGCCCTGCTGTAGAGTCCATTTTGCTTTTTGTATCTCACAGCAGGGTAGTAGTGGTCCCTTTGTGCTTGGGTAATGTGGAAGTTTTCTGTCACTGTTCTGTAATGATTCAGGAAAATTGTACTATGAACTTAGGAACTCTGAAAGTGATTCAATATCTAGGGTTTAAAAGTTGCAGCGTGTGTGGGAAAGGGATTCAACACTTACTCTGAAATTGTTTCAGATTACACAAGACAGAGATCAAAGCAACAGTAACGAGAATTTATTTAAACAATCTAATCTACACAGTGCTGTTTCTAGTTTCAGACCAGATGTAAGGAAATAAGAGGAATTCACCACTGAAAGTGACCTATATTGGTAGATCAGCTCCCAGAGTTTTCTACCTGTCCATATTGTCTGGCCAACAAGCTGTTGCAATGTTTACACAGAACAAGGATCCTACTCATAAACTACACCATCTTCCTGGGATAATTTTTCAGTGAAAAGGATATTGATCTTTTTAGTAAATTAATCTTTTTAATATAATTTTATATCCTTATGCTTTTCCTGGACTGATATTCAGACTTAATTATTCAAGCTCAGCATCATTTTCTGTGATTCATAACTCATTTGGAATATTAACCTTGACACTTTCCTACTGGGTATAATCCACACCTAAATTTTTAAGTGCTAATGACTGTTGTACATAGATAGGCAGAGATATCTTTTATACAGAAGATGTACACAGTCTCTTGACAGCTGTCTGGTTTTTAAACTAACACTATTAACACACAGTTGGTATAATGCTGGGTGACCACTTCGTGCTGCTAGGTGGTAGAGATTTTAAACCTCACCAAGTAACACCCGTATAAACATAAATCTATATTATCTTTAGATTTTTATTTTGTAAATCAGATATTTGCAATAATTTAAACCAAAATAATCATTGCATCTCATTTATAACTTTTAGAATTGGTGTCCATGTGCTTTATGGTGAAAATGGAATTGCATTTGATGCAATGACAGGAGTCAATATTTAAGGCTACTCTGAAAGATGGATAGTCATGTTGAGGTCTGAACTTGTGCTGTTTCCCAAAAACAGCTTAAGCAAAGATTGTTGTTTGAAGTAATGTATATTAGAAAGTTTAAATTTTCTAATGTCAGACTAGATAGTTAATTTTGTGTTCCTACCTATTCAATATTACAAATTCCAATAAAACCCATGGAAAAAAAGCGTGCAGTAATGTGAAACTTTTCAGCCACAAGACTATATATAGATAAGTAAAGAGCTATGCAAAAGGTAGTTTTCTCCCTTGAAGTATCCACCTATCCTATTTATGGACAGTGAAAAACTTGTAGGGAAAAAAAAGTAGATTCTGAATCCCTCAAAGCAGAAATAGAAAAGTTCATGGAGAAGCCAAAATAGCATGTATGGAAAGACCTGGGCTTGATACTAAAGGTATTAAAATCCATGTGGTGCATAGAAAGTCTAAGAGGCTGAGGAGATAACTGTTCAAGTACTTCACTGTGATATGTTGTTCTTTCATTTATATATTTATTTATTTTTACTTGAAATGTGAGACACAGGAAATACAGGCTCATAATATTTGAACTATAAATTGCTACTGGATTCTGTGAGTGGAATGCGTATTCCAGTGCTTTCAGATATTTCTATTATTGTATAAAACAGCCTCAATTTAGATATAAGTGCTGTGCCCAGACCATGCTTAACCACATTCCAAACCCATCCATTCTCCAGAAATATTTTTATTCAAAGTTTAATTCATTTTAAAGATGAACAGGTTTCACAGAATACCCAACCCTAGAAGTGTTTAAGACCAGTTTGGATGGGGCTTTAAGCAACCTGGTTTAGTGGGACGTGTACCTGCTCATGGCAATGGGATTGGAACCAGGTGGGCTTTAATGTCCCTTCCAACTCAAACCATGCTATGACTCTGTAATTCTACTTGTGATAACTTTTCATAGAGTTGTGACAATTAAATAACAGCATAGATATCGTCACAGAATAAACACGTTGCCCTTCTCCAAAGATGTCTGGATGACTCAGTCAGTGGTGTTGGATAGTGTAGAAGCAAAGGAAAGGTCTGCAAAGTAATGTTACGATTAGTCGATAATGCAGTTGATGTTTAGTCGGTTTAGAGGTAGAAAAGGTTCTCACAGCATCCTGAGAACTACCATAATTATAACAAATTTCTAACCAGTGCATTTAATTAGAGAATTCAGTAACATAGTTAAATTGGTACTTTCTTCTATGTGAAGTTTCTAAGCACCATTTTTAATGAAATATAATTTTTCTGGGTTTATCCCTCAGAGCTCTAGTCATACCTCAATTTATTTTTGGTTCTTATTTTTAGTTGCATCTGCATGTATCTGTGACACATAATCTAGACCAAATTGTCTACAAGAATTCCTGCAAGATGCCTTTTTATCTTTTACAACTAATGTTTAATTTTGTTTTTAAATTAAACATATTTATAAACTCTGTCTAATGTATATTAGTAAGTTTACTATAATAAAGATAATAGTTGTAGGTAGAAAATATAGGTCAGTAAATCTAGCACATTTTAAAAATGTACTTTTAATCAAAAGCTTCTAGCTAGATAGCATGTTTATTAATTGAAAATTGTATCTTGCAGTTTTTTTCTGTGCCTTTTTGTGTGTGTGTGCGTTTTCGTTGTTGTTTGTTTTGTTTTGTTTTTACTAAGAAGAAATCATTCTCTTATCAAACAACACGTTCAGGTGGAAAATCAACAAACTGGGAAGGAGGTATTCGTGTGCCTGGGCTTCTCCGTTGGCCTGGAGTGATACCAGCTGGTACCTATATGGACGAGCCAACAAGTAACATGGATATATTTCCTACCATTGTCAAACTTGCTGGAGCACAGTTACCCTATGACAGGTATGCTCTGAACTTACCTCTGTTCTATAGAAAATCTCATGTGCATTTTGTACATTCTGGTGATAACTGTTAGGACAGAAGTAAGAATAAAAAGAAAAACTAGATTTTAAGTACCTTTTTTTTTTTTTTTGTAATTACATTTCATGTTGGCATTCTGATATGCTTTACAAAAAACATTGTAACATTGTATGTAAACATTGTATGTAAAAGCAGTTTGGCCAGCAGAACAGCTTTTTTGTGCTATTTTATCCCAGTTCATTTAGTGGGCTTGTTTTGTTCATCTTAAATGAAAACTTGAAGTCCCTTCTCCTTACTGTTCCTGTTCATCAGTCCTTACTCTATACTTGCTCACATCACTTAGCCTTACCAAAAATGTTGAAGTTAAAGGGAATTGTGTAACTAGAAGACAGAAAAAACAACAACAAAAAATCATAAAGCTGGGCACCAGAGACAGGGTCAGCCATTGGCAATGTGAACAGCAATTAAGACATACATTTACACTGTCATTCTTCGGCAGTTCTTTATCAGTTCTTTACTGTAAATAAATGCCAAAATAAAAATAAAAATAAAAATAAAAAAATGCTTGAAACCTGCCATTTCATAACCAGCTAGGTATTAACTGAGGCTGAACTCAGTATCAAGCACACATTCCTAACCCTTACTTTCTCTGTTAACAGTTTCTGTTTTTTATTTTTTCTGATATCATTTGTAAAGATCAGCTCTGCGGCTAGTTCAGAGCATGGTCATGCAAACAGTTATGTCATCTGATGTGATAATCCTGCATGGAAGGGAACAAGCATCCGGCAACTACAGAGTGAGAGAATACCACCAAAAGCAACATACCATCAAGTCACAGCCTAGAATTATTTACTAAAAGCAAAATGAATTTATCAGAAAAGGCTCCATTTTGTATGAATGAAGATGGTAGAAAAAAGACCTGCAAGTGTAAATTATTTTTTATGAGTTAAACCTTGGCCTGCTTAGTGTAACAAAACAAATCAAAAAGCTACCCTTTTCTTACAATTTATTGTTCTCTACTAAATGAGTGAAAATAATCTATTACAGAGGTTAGCAGCCTGATGGAAAAAACAAAAACAAAAACAAAAACAAAAAAAAAACCAAGCTTATAAAATTAATAAGTTTTACTGACATTTGCACATCCCAATGTTTTATCTCGTTCAAGAGATACACAATCTCATCAGCAAGATGCCTCCACCTAAACTCTGTTGCCATCCCAGTCCAATATGTGGAGAAACCCACTGCTACACTTACTCTTTGTACACATCTGCCATGCACAAACAGCTTTTGAGTACGAAGAATCCAGAATCCATATGGAGAAGACCAGTGGTGAGCAGAGACACTCTGCTAATGATGATTCATGGAGATTCTGCAGGAAATGGCGGGGCAGGACACGTGGTGTAAGGCATGAGAAACTAGTCTTGCACTGAGACATCCCCTACAAGCAGTAATTCTGTTGAATCTAAGCAGTTCAAACTATTCTTACTGAGGGCAGATCTTATGCACTTCATTTTCATATTCCTTGAGTGAAGACTAAGCACTGATGTTTTATTTTCATCTCTTTATAGATGAAATGTTTATAGATTTAAAAATATAGATTTATAAATATAGATTTAAATATTTATAGATGAAATGTCATTATAGATGAGATGTTTTATTTTCATCTCTTTATATCTCAATATATTGAGAAATCTCAATATATTTGTGTAACTTCCACTTTCAAGTTTCTCCTCACTGATTCTTCTTCTGTGTAGACTATATGCCATAATTATTGTTGCATGGTAGGTCTGAGTGAGATGCTGTAGACTAGTTTGAATCATACACAGAATACATACCTACATATATAGAATCGTCTAGGTTGGCAAAGACCTTCAAGATCATCTAGTCCAGCTATCAGCCTGGACTTTCTAGTCCCGTCACTACACCACATCCCTCAGTGCCACACATCTCCTAAATACCCACAGGGATGAGGACTGCGCAAGGCAGCCCTTTCCAGTGCTTGACAGTGGGACCATCCTATTCCTTCAGTGTATTTTTCCTGAAAAACATTAGAAATTACTCCAGCTAGGATTCAGACACTGGTAGGGAGCAAGTTAAAGGGGGATGGAGGAGGTGCTCCTTGTAAAAGAAGAAAGATAGGTCATCAGAAAGAAAAGGCTTAGGTATAGCCCTAAAACAAATAGATAAGGCTATATGAGAGTACTGTTGACATATTACTGGAGACAACCTTTTCCCCATCACAAGTCTGTAGAACAGAATGTATGCAATAGACATACAGACATCCTACACTCAGCTTGATGATGACCAAGCTTGCAGGGGCAAAAATCAGGAAAGAAAACATGACAGAATGAAAGTGAGAAAGATCCTCATTCAACAGACCCCACAACCAGGGATGCATCCAGAAAACAGAGTTGGACAACACTGCTTTACAAATAACAGTCTTGTTTCCTAATACTATCTCATAGTAATTACGCTAATGTGAAACAGGTTTTACATGGTAATGAAAATTGATAAATAGACACTCAGGGGTTTAAAAGTTTCAAAAACGTTTTTATAAGATGTTGCTCAAAATACTTAAAAAAAACCAAACAATTACCTGATGATCTGTATACCAGCAGAAATTAGCATCCTATAAAACTTTTTGTAAAACTTGTAATTCACACCATGTCAAAAATGCAGATTGTGATTTGTCCCCTATCAACTGATTCCAGCTATTTGATGGCTTCGTATATGGAAACATTTAAATTACTTGCTTATTATATAACACCATTTCAATGTAAATTGACTTACTCCTTCAAAACATCATCAAAATTGTCCAGCAGCAGATAGAGAATTTATATATATATATGTATGCATGTGTGTGTAGTTGATAAACACATATTTAAACATAGTTCGTTTTCAACTTTAAAATTACTAGTTCTGTGTTAAATTCTAGCATGCATAATTTATTAGACGGAGTTCTTCCCATTACTTCTGGGGATGCAAACACAGCACAGCGGAGATTTTTCTGATCTTAGAGTTACTTCAGCCAGACTGCTTCCAAGCAGCTTGAGCAGGTATATGCATTTATACCTGGAGGACTGGGTTCTAGCAATTTACTCACATATGTCTGATTACATTCTCAGCAAGAAAAGAGAAAAGTGGGATGAGGAAGCAACCACTCCTAATGGCAAAATATAAAATTAATGTTTCCTTAAATAATATAGAAACCAAAGGGGAAGAGCACCTGAACAGTTTTTTTCCAGATTGATCAACTGGAAGTGACCATTCAGATCATAAGATTCAGATTTATTGTTTTAAGAAGTGGAAATGCAGAGTTATATTTTTTAGAAAGGGAAGTTTTGGTTATTCTGACTTAGAAATGCTTTCTTACTCAGAATTATTGATGGACATGATCTGATGCCCTTACTTCAAGGAAAAGTTACCCGATCCAAGCATGAATTTCTCTTCCATTACTGTAATGCATATTTAAATGCAGTACGCTGGCATCCAGGAAACAGTAAGTAAACTTGTGTGTTCAAACTTTAACTATTTTATATAATTTTTATTGCAGCTTGAAAAGAATCAGAAAACAAACAAACAAACAAAAACTAACTTGTACTATAGTAACAAATAAATTGTTTAAAACATCTCTCCATTTTCCTTCTGTTTCACTTTTTCCAGAACACACCTATTCACGGAGCCATTTTACTGTTTGACATTACTTTGTTGCTATGCATTAATGTTACATATCAAGACAACAGAGATATCTATAGTACCTGAGCTATTTTTTAAAAACTTACCTGAAAGACAGTCTGTTTTACGGAATGAAGTAGTCAATGTTAACTGTTATACCTTCCTAAAAATGTACGGGTAATAGCATGGTTTGTTGAGTAACAGCGCATGTATGACACCAACCTGTCTATTTTTATTATTGAGATAGCAATGTACAGAACTATCATTCTGATAGTATATACTATCATATCAGAGATATCAGATAGTATATACTATCATTAGAATAGACTAGTCAAAGTCAAAATTATACCAGGGATTATTCAGTAATATAGGAGACCTTTTCAGACTTTTTTTTAACTGAATAAATTCAATTGGTAGTCTAAAGAAGAAAGTATTGCCCACTGATCTGTTCATTTTTAACCAACAGCCTACTGCTTCTGGTAGTAACTTCCACATTAATCAAATATTTCCCTTTCCATAAAAATCTCTGGGATGAATGAAGTTGAACATGTCAGCTGACATTCAAAGCATTGACATATGTTACAGTTTAAAAATGATGATTTGAAACAAGCTTTTGATGTAGCATTTCTGGCTTTACATACTTTGGGAAAGGACTTAATACTTAATTTGCAAAGGTCTTTTTGGTCATCTGCAGGCTCACTCTCTGCTTTAGCCTTTTAACTAGGAGAAATTAAAATATTACTTATAACAGTCAGTTACCAGATCATTTTGTTTCTGAGATTGGGTGAAATTATTCTGCTTCGTTAGGAGATAAGCTGCAGGCAGGCAGAGAAGATATTCTTCTCACTAAAACACCATTGCAAAATGAAGTACCCCTATCCTGAGCAAAGGGTCGACTTGGTTATTTACTGAAGGGAAATTTAATGGGAAAAGAAGGGGAGCAATGATGAGGGACTTGTCTATTATATTTACTGTGTGGCAACAATGTACATTGTGATTTTCCCTTTATCCTTCTTCTAGAGCAAGAAAAAAAACTAAAGCCCATTCAGACTCTGGCAATAACATTTTCATAACACTGGGCTGATTTCTGTATGGAAGTGTATTTGAAATGCCACCTTGTCAGCCTGCTGTATAGTGCGAGAGTAGGCAACAGCTAAATGTTCATCTCCGCTCTTTTTTGTATGAGTCCCCTGGGAGTACTCAGTGTCTGCTTCAGTCTTGTTGAATCAGATCTTCAGAAATACCTTTTCCACGTAGACAATACAATCATATTTGTAAATATATTTGTTGCAGTCAGCTGAAGTTTTGCCCCTGTTTATCTCTTTCCTGTGTTTTATTGTTGTATAGAGATAAATACACTTGCATTACAGCTCTATGCACCTGATACCATCAGCATTGCTGTAAGTACTCATGTGGAAAAATGAGTATGGTTGGTTTTTCTTCTGATATCTTAGCAGCTCTGTATGAAGCAACTGATAAGTTCAAAGTGTATTATATTACTAGTTAGTGTATTATTGTCCTCTAGCCTCCCCCCACAGCTCTTTACAGCTAATCGCAGAGTCCATTCACAGGAACTATTTCTGCTACTATGAAATGATATTATATTTTAGTATACGAAAACAGACAGAAAGTAGAAATACAATACACTTTTTTTGTTTTGTTTTGTTTCCTTGGAGAAGCCATTTTTTCAATAATTTAATTCAAACCATTGCAGAGCTTTTGCCAAGCAGCAAAGAACTAAATTAGAAGTATCCTATGGCAACAGTTCATTCCCTATACTTAGGAACACATCCAAAAAAAGTAGATGAGGTCACCTTCGTTAAAGACAGGCTGAAGAAGTGAACAATTTTCACTTACATTCAGAATGCTAGTATGATTACTTGCAAGGATATAAGGCTTCAAGGTTTAGGTAGATCTGATTACCATTCCTAAATAACATGTATCCCATGCCTCACATACTTTATGGCCTCGATAAGTACCACATTCATCCCTAAGCATATGTATTTTCCAGTATCCAGAAACGTCTGTAGAATATCTCATCTTATAGTTGCCAATGACTGCAGTCAAACCAATAGCCCTCAATTCACAGAGGACCACCAGAAACAGATTCTTGGTATTAAGGATACTCTTGAAGACAATTCCTTATATAAGAAAGAAACAGAAAATATGTGAGAAGAACATCATCAGGAATCATTGTGCAGTGCATTGTACATTCTGTGCAGTGTAAATTGTCTTTTAAGCCAGGTAAGATTTGTGGCGTTTTTGATCTGTATTCCCCAGATAGTTAACTATATTGATTCTGCTACTTCGGAATTGTGTAAAAACATTCTTCATATAGAATATGCCTGTACATATGGCCCAAATGCTGACCAGCTCTGCTTCTCAATAGGTCTGAAGTCTATGAAAAGGCTTAGTAGAAAACACTGTGATCATGTGTAATTAATAACCCCAACTATATTCTGTGTCTTCTGCACTGATGTGGTGATGGGCCCTTGTTAGAAGGACCCAACCATCTGATCACAGAATCATAGAAGGGCCTGGGTTGAAAAGGACCTTAAAGATCATCTAGTTTCAAGCCCCCTGTTCCGGGCAGGGTTGCTAACCAGTAGAGCAGGCTGCCCAGAGCCACATCCATCCTGGCCTTGAATGCTTGGGACATCCACAGCCTCTCTGGGCAACCTTTTCCAGTGCCTCACCACCCTCTGAGTGAAAAACTTTCTGCTAAATTCTAACCTAAATCTCCCCTGTCTTAGTTTAAAACCATTCCCCCTTGTCCTATCACTACCAACATGTGTAAACAGGCATTCCCCCTCCTGTTTATATGTTCCCTTCAAGTACTGGAAGGCTGTAATGAGGTCTCCCTGGAGCCTTCTCTTCTCCAAGCTAAACAAGCCCGGTTCCCTAAACCTTTCTTCATAGGAGAGGTGCTCGGGCCCTGTGATCATTATCTGACTACAATATAGACTGCTGTTCCCTTCTTCATCAAATGTGTAATTTCTATCAGTTTTAAAGATGTATTTTTTGAAGCACAAAACAGCAACATAGGAAAGAAAGGTTACAACTGCTAAGGAAAATATTATTTATTCATTAACTAAAGCACAATCCATTCTAAATAAATGGGAAAAGTGCATATATTGCATATATGCACCTATTAAGACATACATTCTTATATTTCTTGCTATATTTCTTTTCTAGGAAGTCTTAGTATATATGACAGACTCAGCTTGTATATTTCACTTTTTTTCCTTAGATACTCAAAGTGTAGATTTAGCTTTGACCCTAAGGAAAAATTGTCTTCACTAGGAAGTGAGAGGAGAGCAAATGTTCTGCATAGTCAACTGGTTCCTTGTTGCCTCCATCACTCTACAGTTCCTTTAATCTTTGACATTGTTAGATTTCCGTTATGTACTTCACTAGAAGAATTTAAAATAGGTTTTGGTTTAATTTTTGACTCTTAGGCTATACATTATGAAACAGACGAATTTGGTGTAGGTGAAATTTATAGTATTGCACACATTTCCCTTGCTAACATACTTCCAAAGTCTGACTAAGCAGGTGTGCTTCTCACATCACTCAGGGAAGGTCAGAAACTTCAAAGTGAACAGATAACCATTAATGAATATTTTACATCTATATGTTTAGAAGCTAAGCATTCCTCATAACCAAATCAATGCTCATCTTCATTAAAACATGTTAGTTGAGTCAGTTACGGCATTCATTCCCCTTTATCAGTCCTTTGAAGGAGCATTAGATTATGTGTGCTACATAATGCTCTTCTCAACCAATACCTCAAAATTTAAGCCTGATCCTTTCTAGAGATGTCAGAAAAAGAAAAAAAAAACCTCCCTTTCTTCTGCTCTCCTTCTCTCTCAGCCACAGAAAACAGACTAACAGCATTTTCTTCTTCATCTCTCTTTGATTCACTTGCATTTTGCCTGATACTGAAAAATAATGTACATTCTTCCTGACATTCGGAATTAAAAAAGGAATGAAATATCAGGCAATTTTCGTTGCTCATGATTCATATTTCTCTCATAGACACGTGCATGCTGACACTTACTGTCAGTGCCTTGGAAACAAATAAGACATATAGTCCTAGTTCTTGGAGGATGACTTCCTGTTATTTCGTATCCTTTGAAACCAATTTAATTGATCAGTTATGTATACAGAGTGGAAGACATGTTCAAACAGTGTCAGCAAAGTACTGTGATTTTCCATTATCAATGCATATTCTCCATGGTTTCCTGGAGTAGCATACAAGTACTAATATACAAAAGCAGCATCTGTGAAAATATAAAATAAAATAAAATCAGCTCTTCTTTCTGCCTACTCTGATGATTAAATAGGTTTAAACATTTACATTTAAAACAAACCAGGTGTAGGTTCCGCCTTGACTGTAAGTTGAGCCACCCAGAGTTTTATGTAGCACTCTGTTAGTTGTGCGTGTCAGATTATGCTTTGGCCTAATTTAACTCTGATCACGTGTTCTTCTGTTTGTGCAAGAAGACTAGTACTTGTGTACTTGCTAAAGTTATAATTTAGCATAACTGCACACTAAAAAAAAAAGTAAAAAAATATCAAGAGCTATGTCTCCAGAACATTAGTGGCATATGAATCAGTACTATTAAAAATGCATTGCTATGACAACTTAATTATAAGGAGAGAATTCATCAGATAAGAGAGTGAATCTACAGTTGAATGGAACTATTGCATCTTTCATACTCCTCTGATTGTGGGCAAAATTTTCATTTGATAAGGAGGAAATACATTGTAACCTTTCGTAATAAACGCTAAAAAATCTAATGCACTAGTTTGTATTAGAAA